AAGTGGACGCTTTATGTGGGATTCGCGATAAATGACGAGGTCCGCTGACTTTCGTTTCCCCAGTGAAAAAAGGAGGCGGAGCGTTTTCTACAGAATCCGCAGTAAATAACGTGGTCTGGAGACCCCAACCTTTCACAGCAGATGTTGGCATGTTGACTTTTTGCGCCCGCGCTCGAGGATGGCGCATCCTGCGCGCAGAAATTGTGAGGGTGTCTCGAGCAAAAAGCTCGTTTTGGAGAAATGGAGAGGCCGTCACTTTGGCCCCAGTCCTTTTCTTTTCAGGGCGGAACGCTCGTGAAAACACGCGGGTCCCTTTCGCCCCAGAGCGCGGCGAGCGTGAAATCACGTGGGTCCCACTGGCTTCAGGGCAGAGCAAACACGGGGGTCCCTTTGGCCTCAGGGTGGAGCAATCGTGACAACATTCCCCTTCCTCAAAAACACCAGCGTGAGAACACGCGGGCCCCTTACGCCCCAGAGCGGAACAACTTGTTTTCACGCTTGCTACGCTTGGGGCGAAAAGGCCTCACGTTTTTTCTCGCTTGCTGCGCTCTGTCTCGAAAGGGACTCACGGGTTTTCACCCTTTTCCGCTCTGGGGCGAAAGGGACCCACGCGTTTTCACGTTAACTGCGCTCTGGGGCGAAAGGGACCCACGTGATTTCACGCTTGCAGCGCTCTGGGTCGAAAGGGGCCCAGGTATTGTCAGGCGTCCTGGCCACCCAGGGGCGGTCTCCCCCTCCCAAATGTGAGGGAGGGCACAGAGGCAGAGCAAACTCATCGAATTGTCTCTATATGCGTAATCACTTGGCACGTCCAGTCTTGGGGCTCTGCGGAGGCCTCCTGGGGCTTCCTGGAGGGGACCCACGTTTTTTTTTTTTTTTTTTTTTTTTTTTTTTTTTTTTTTTTTTTTTTTTTTTTTTTTTTTTTTTTTTTTGTTTTTGTGTGTGTGTGTGTGTGTGTGTGTGTGTGTGTGCGTGCGTGCGTGCGTGCGTGCGTGCGTGCGTGCGTGCGTGCGTGCGTGCGTGCGTGCGTGTGTGTGTGTGTGTGTGTGTGTGTGTGTGTGTGTGTGTGTGTGCGTGTGTGTTTTGTTATATTGTAAAAACGATTTTCGCACTCTGGCTCGAAACGGACCCACGCTTTCACGCTTGCTGCGCTCTGGGGCGAGAGGGACCCACGTGCCACTTTCACGCCTGTGGCGCTCTGGGTCGAGAGTGACCCACGGGCCTTCACGCTGGGCTCCGCTCAGGGGCGGACGGAGCCCACGTGCTCCCCCGATGGCGCCGCTCGTGGGCGCCATTCCGCGCCTGCCGCGCTGCGGGGCACACGGGACCCGCGTGCTCTCTCGCGCACTCGTGCTGCCCTGGGGCGACGAAGGCCCACCGGTGTTCACCGCGCCTGATTCCGCTCCTGGCGCGCACGGGGCCCGCGTGCTCTCACGCTGGGTTCCGCCCTGGCGCGTGTCCTCCTCCTCCTCCCTCCTCCCTCCTCCCTCCTCCCTCCTCCCTCCTCCCTCTTTCCTCTTCCCTCCTCCCTCCTCCCTCCTCCCTCCTCCCTCCTCCCTCCTCCCTCCTCCTGGTTCCGCTCTGGCGCGCAGGGTGCCCACCTGTTTTCACGCTAAACACCTTCTCGTCCTTCATTTTGCTATTGTATTTCGTTTACTATTTTCTCCGTGCGTTTTACTTGTTGTTCCACGCTGCCCAGGCGGATGTGGAGCGTGAGGCTTTGTTGACGGCGTTTCGAGAGGAGCGCGGGTCCTTGCGTGCCCAGGCCGCCCAGGCGCACCACCAGCACGAGTATGTGCTGAGGATGTCTCGGGCGAAGCGCTCGCTCTGCAGGGTCTGCTGAGGGTGCATCGAGCGAGGTCCTCGCCTGCAGCGAAAGCCTCCCTCCGCAGGATGTGCTGAGGATGCCTCTCGCGAAGCGCTGGCTTTGCATCGTTTGAGGAGGTGCTGAGCGGGTGCCTTGTCGTCGTCTCGGTGCTTTTCGTTTCCGTTCGGATCTTCCCCTTGATCGGCTCGCCCCATTTCGGAACTGAATCGCATCTCGAGTTCGAGCTGGTTGAACGCCCCGCATTTTTCTCCCCCGCCTGTTGTGGTCGCGCTTAGTTCGCTCCCTTGCGGAACTTCATGTCTCGGGCGATGGCTTCAGAATTGCATCGAATCTTGAGCTCGAGCTAGCTGGTCGAGCGCCCCGCGCGTCTCGACTAGAACTAGCCCGAGCTATGCGTTCAGGCAGTTCGAGCTTAAGATCCAAATCAGTTCGGCCACGATTCTGACGCCAAGGACGGCGTGATCCACAATGCAATGGGGCGCGGCACGGTTCAACGCGGCGTGACACGTTGAGCTCAGCACAGCACGGTACAGCACGGCGCAGTACAGCACAGCCCGTGGTAGGGTACGTCACGATCGTTCCTCTGAGCATTGAAATTGCCCGTCTTCCAAGTTTGACGTCTTGGAAACGATGGCATGCTTCGCATGTCTGCATCCCTTTCTGGGTTCGTGGGTCGATCATGTCAGATGGTTCGTAGCTTCGGGTCCAGAGCCGAGTTTCATGAGACGGTGGGGCGCAGGGGGGTGGGGCAAAAAATGGTTCCCGAACGCATATCCACTCCAGCAAACGCTAGTGTTCTGCTCTGGAGAGGGGGCGGCGCTTTGGGGGCCGCGCCCGTGGGGTGGGTCTGCGTGGCCTCGCAGCCCGACGGCGCTGGGACTTGCCAGGGGTTGTGGCCTCGGGGGCCCGAATCGGGCATGATTTACGGGGGATCGTGGCCTCGGGGCAGGGGGATACATGGGGGGAGGGGTCTAGGCACCCTCCCCGCCCACATGCCGTCTCGCTCGCTCCCAGCCGCCCTCCCAGCACATGCGTAGCACCCGAGCGGCAGCGTGTTCAGCGGTAGTCTTCTGGTGGACAGCCAATGGGAACCACAACAGATCCCGTGTGCGCAACGCCGGGGCGAGGTGCGCCAGGCGTGCTGTGCGCGCCAGGTGCGCCAGGCACCCCTGTGGCCCAAGCGCGCGAATCCATGGTGTACTTCACAAAGGGTCGTGGCCGCGGGGGCCCAGATCTTGTGAACCAGTGAAGGATCATGGCCTCGGGGGTGCGAGCCTTGAGTCGCTGATCGTGGCCGCGGGGGTGCGAACCTGGTCTTCTTTACGATGGATCGTGGCCTCGGGGGCGCGAATCTTGAGTCCTTTCTTAGACAAATGGGCCGGGGGACGCGAATCTCGTGTTCTTTTAAGTGTCCCTGGCCCCGGGGAAGTCTGAGAACCCTGGGAGGTGGTGGTAATGAGGGTGGTTTTCGGCGTCCCCCCTCGCGCGGAGGGTGACAACTTGCAGTAAAACGCAAGCAGTAGACCCATCACGCTGGAGACTGGAATCTAGAAGCTGCACTCGAACTGTGACTGAAGCTGAGGAGCTCAGGACCGGTACTCACGTGCCTACGCTGCTGAAGCCCGATCTTCGTAAAACAGGGCTAGGATCGGGATAAATCGCTCCAGAGCGTTCCGGAGCGCTCTCAGAGCGTTCCGGAACGCTCTGGAGCGGCCGCGGCGCCCACTACATCCTCCAAACCCGCCGATTCTTAGAGATTTCGAGTTATCCCGATCCGATTTTGTCCCCATCTTCGCGTCGTTTTACTTCGCAAACCTGCAAGGGGGCCGGCGGATTTCCTCAAAACACTTCGAGGACGCGGGTCGACGCTGCTAGGCCACGCTGCGGCCACTCTCGAGCGTCCCGACTGCCGCCGCGATGGTTGCCCCGCCCAGGAGTTTTCGACGACATCTGTCCAAATCTACAGTCGGCCCTGCACCAAACAGAGACGGAGACAGACCAAGCTGAGGGAGAAGGCGGGAACCCTTGGCTTACCAGCCTGGAATATGTCCCTATCCCTATGCTGGGCACCTCCTCATCTCGATGCCAATCTTAGGGATTCCCTCATCTTTTGAGGGCGCATCCCTAAGATTGTCATCGCCTTTTGGCGTGTCAATCTTAGGGATAGGGATACAGTCGGGGCCCTGAAAAAGGAACCCTTTTCGTTGGGGAGGGGCTCCGTGTTCCTTGGGTGTTTCACAGCTTGCCCCACGTTTTCCCTAGGTTTTCGAGGGGAAATCGAAGTTCAACTCATGGAGAAAAGGGGCCTCGTTCCTTATTTTGGGCTCCTTAGGTCAACGCCCCGACTGTATCCTTTCTTCTGCGCGGGCCGCCGGGCGCGCCGCCCGCGGCGTAGAAATCTATCCTGGGGCCTCCTCCTGGGGTCCGTGCCACTGTTTGTCCCGGATGGGCGTGGGACGGTCTTGGGGCTCAGAGGCGACGTCCCGGCCCCGAAGGCGACGGACAGATTCGGCCCCTGGCGCATCCCCACCCGCCCTTCCAGAAGCGATGCTCGTGGGAGCCGCCCTCCTCGGGGGAGCGTGGCATCCTCGGGATGCCTCGGGGTGCCTCAGTGGGCCAGAGGCCCCTTGGGGTATCTCTTAGGACCCCTTGGGTCTTTTGGGGTATCTCTTGGGGGCCTGTTGAAGGCCTTTCGGGGCGTCTCAGCGGCCTCTTGCCGGCTCTCGGGGGGCTTCTTGGATGCCTCTTAGGGGCTTCTTGCGGCCTCTTGGGGGCCGCTTGGAGCCCCTTCGAGGCCCTTCGGGGCCTCTTGGGGCCATCTTGGAGGCCAGCGGGTAGTCAAATACGCAGGGGCCGCGCGGACTAGCCCCACCTCCTGCAGAAGGCCAATTTTGGCCAGAGTGGGTTGAAAGTCAATGATTCGTGCTTTCTTTATGAGGCCATCTTGGACGCTCTTACCGCTGGCCCCCCCTCCTCCAGACCCAGGGAGGCGGGCCTGAAGGGGAAGAAGGGGCAAGATGGCACAGGAGACGCTCTAGAACACCTCAGCCCAGAGGGCTGGCGGGATTCGATCCTAGATGGCTTGCTCGTGCCTCAACGCGTTCTCCAGACACCGAGAACGAGGAGGAACCCCTCTATCTTGTTATCGTTTGTTCCCCTGCGCGCCGCCCCGAGCCGCTGGCCTGGGAGTAGACGCCAGGCGCGTGCGCGGGGCCATGGAGGCAGGCGAGCGTACCGCCCTCGAGGCGCCCGTAGAGGCGGTCGAGGCGCGCGGAGGGCTGCCGCGCCTTCAGTGCGCCTGGCGCGGCCATTCCGGCGGCGCCGCCGCGGTGGGCAAGGAGCCGGAGAGAGGCACGATGGGGCCTACGTTTGAGTCGGGCCTGTCTCCCTACAGGGGGGTTTTCGACGAAAAACAAAAAATACCCCCCAAATAGTCCAAACATATTTCAAGAATAGTCTGGGGAATATTTGTCGAATATTTTTTACCTACTTCGTTTTTTTTTTTTTTTTTTTTTTTTTTTTTTTTTTTTTTTTTTTTTTTTTTTTTTTTTTTTTTTTTTTTTTTTTTTTTTTTTTTTTCTTCTTATCTTTTTTGTGAGATATATATGTATATATGTTTATATATACAATAAAATGTATATATTCATATGTATTATGTTCATGGTTATCAGTATGATTCGTCGAACATCCCCCTGCCTGTAGGGGGACACGCCCGACATAAGCCTACGTTTTTCAGGGGTGTCGGTCTCCCGGGGCCCGCCGCGGGCCCCGGGTCGGCCAGCAGCCCATCCAGTCAGCGGCGCCGCAACGGGTATTCACCAGCGGGCACTCTGGAAAGCTGCCGAAGGTTGCCACTCTGGAGCCTCTTTCTGGCATTGCGGCGTTGCCCACATCGGGAAGGGTTGGGTTCGCCGGGTCACTGGCCAAAATCTCGATCCCCCTCCCCCCTTTCATATCAGAAGTCCATCGCTGGGTAGGGATCGCGTAGAATGCGGCTCAGGCCTCGGAGCATCAGGCCGGCATTTCTCTCTGTCTGCTGGCGCAGTCCGTCGCGCTGCACGGAGAAAAAAGAAGTGCCCGTAAGGTGGAGTCCCCGAAGAGGGGCGCTGATCCAGGGCGAGAGGGTGGCCAGGTGTCCAGGAGCAGAGTTTGAGCGGATGTTGGTCGGTGAGAATGGGGATGGGAGGGGGTCGAGGGCCGATGCTTTTCGGACGGTTTTTTGCGCGGCGGGCCCCGCGGATCTCGCGAGGACAGCTGGGCTTTGCGCTCCGTGGCCTGGGCTGCGGTGCGAGGGCGCGAAGATGTGGCGACCCTCCCCGGGACCTCCAGAGACCCTTGGAGGGTTGGCGCAAGGAGGACGCCGAAGGAGGCGGAATGTGTATCCTGACATGAGCATGGGAGCGTCTGTTGCGCTCCCTTTCGGTCAGCGTCTTTCCATCCCTCCCCTAAGCCGGGGCTTTGCGTGCGGGCTTGCCCGCTGCTGATGGGCCCAATCGTCGTCCCAGGTCTGCTCGGAGTCTGCGACGTGCGCGCGCGCCGGAGGTCGAGAGCAAGACAGTCCCAGCGCTGCCTATGTCAGACACCTCCCCAGTGCCAGCGGCGCGCTGTGTGAGGTACTCTCAGGTTCGTGGTTTGGGTATGCGTCCACGATCGTACTGCCAGTGTTCCACCATGTCACCATGGTTCGACGGTGCCCCGATGTCGTTTTTAGAATCTTGGGCCCCCAGACTCTCCCGCAGAGGCCCGTTGGAACATCTTGGGCAATCTTGAGCCCTTTCGATAGGTCTCGGGGTGGTCTTGGGCCGTCTTGCGGCGTCTTCGTTCCGTCTCGGGGCCACCTTAGGCCATCTTCAGGCTCATTGGGCCCGTCGAAGGCCGTCTTTGTTTGTAAAGGCCTCACGGCCAGTGCCGCCGACCCTGTATGCGAGGAGGACAGGGAGATGGAACATGTGGACGAGGAGGAGGGGGCCTCTTGGGTCTTCCGAAGCCTCTCGGGATCTCTTGGGAGCCTCCTGAGGGCCTCTTGGGTCTTCCTGGGTGCCTCTAGGGACTTCTTGGGGCCTCCTAGGAGGCTCTGGGGCCGAAGGTTCCAACGCTCCTTTCGAGTCCCCTGTGTGGGCACGCTCTGGGAGCCTGCTCGGGGTCCTCGTGGGCCGTCTTGAAGGCCTCTCGGGCCCTCTTGGGCCCTCTTGGGTCGATTCGGGGCCCTCTTGGAGACTTCGGGGCTATCTTGGGGTGATCTTGGGACGATCGCGGAAGCCTCTGGGGCCGACTTGGAGCGCCGGGAAGCCGAGAAAGCGAGCAGGAAAGTTTATAATTTTTGCATGTTGGGCCCTTTCCAGAGTGCTCTTGGAGGCCTGGTGGAGCGGCTCGGGGGTATCTTGGACTGCCTGGAGTCCACCCTTGGCGTCTGGGACTGACACTTCGGCGATCCGCGGCCCTCTTGGACCGCCCCGGAGGCCTCCAGGGGCACTCTTGGCCCGTTTTTACCTAACAGCTTTTGCTGATAGGTTTCTAGTGGTCTCAAAAGAGAGCATCTGGACTCCACAGGGGGGTCTGGGCGGGTGCCGGGGAGGAGAACCGGGAATCGTTTTTCGCCAACAGTCACACACTTCGTGCTCTTCGACCTCCCAGAACTCCATTCCCGGGCCACATTCTGGAGAACCGGGAACAGAGCCGGGCTCGCTTTTCGCCAACAGTCACACACTTCGTGCTCTTCGACCTCCCAGAACTCCATTCCCGGGCCACTTTCTGGAGAACCGGGAACAGAGCCGGGCTCGTTTTTCGTCAACAGTCACACACTTCGTGCTCTTCGACCTCCCAGAACTCCATTCCCGGGCTACATTTTGAGTGGCCGGAGCCAACTGTAGGCCACTTCGTGCTCTTCGAATCGCCAGAACTCCATTCCAGGGCCACATTTTCAATGCCAGGAGCCAACTGTAGGCCACTTCGTGCTCAAAGGCCACTGCTGTTAGGTTGCTTTGCCGGGATTTTTTTTTTTTTTTTTTTTGTTTTTCCCCTGGGACCCCCTGGGGGGATGGTACAGTCAGGGCGCTGTGAAAAAGGAACCCTTTTCGTTGGGGAGGGGCTCGGTGTTCCTTGATAGTTTAACAGTTTGCCTCAGGTGTTCCCCAGGTTCCCCATGGGAAATCGAAGTTTAACCCATGGGAAAAAAGGGGCCTCGTTCCTTATCTGGGGTTCCTTAGGTCAATGCCCCGGCTCTATTCTGCCCCGGGATCCCCGTCAGCAGCCCCCCTGGGACTTCCCCCCCGACCCCCCCCCCCTCGGACGGGGAAGGGACCCCAGGGCAGAGGCTCCCCCTCGACTCCACTACGACTTCGCACAACTTCGCTTCGGCCGGCGCGTGCGAGGAGGAGGAGGGCCCAGGAAAACGCGGCGGCGGCGGCGACGACGACGCCGACGACGCCGACAGGGTCGGCGGATTTTCGCATAGGCGCGTCTCGCTGGTGGGTTCTTCTCCGTAGGTCGATCTCCCCGTCGCCAGATCCGCCGCGGTCCAGCTCCGGCGGGGACCCTGGCAGGCCGCCCACGGACAAGCGCGCACCAACCCCAGCCTCGCTGGCCGCCAGCGGTGCTGCAGCAGGAGCCACGGGCGGGGGCGTGGGCGGGCAGCGGCCCAGCGATGGGTCTGGACGAACGGATCCCTGGCATCGCTGAGCGATGCCAGGACGAACGGATCCCTGGACGAACGGACGAACGGATCCCTGGACGATCGCCTGGACGAGCGATGGGCCTGGACGAACGGACGAACGGATCCCTGGACGAACGGACGAGGGGCCCAGCGATGGGCCTGGACGAACCTGTGCCCAGGATGAACGGATCCCTGGCATCGCGCGGAGGTCCTGGTGCGGGGCCGGAATGGCTGCCGCCCGAGCGGAGGCTCCGCGAGCCCAGTGACGCTCCGCCACCATGGCGAGTTCGGGTGAGCCAGAGCTTGGCATCGCCCGGACATCTGCAGTTTTGTCCCGGCGAGGACCATCGAGGAGCATTCTGGACCGTCTTGCGAAAACTACGCGCACGAAGCCGAAAAATGCACAGAGAATGGACGTTGGGGCGATGGCAAGAGAGTGGAAAGAGGCGTCGGGGGAAGGGCGGAAGCCAGGGTCAGGGCAGACCCACACTGCCGCACCAAGAGGGTGTCCTCCAGCCCCATGGCCCACGGCGCCGCGTTCAAAAGGGGGCAGCCGGCTCCCTGGCCACGGCCGCCTTCGTTGAGGGACACGGGGCCCAGCAGGGCGGTTAGGACGCGCATGCTGGCCAGTTGTTCGGTCATGGCCTCATGGCCCAGCGACCACCACTGGATGCGTACCTCGCAGTACCAGAGTGCCACCCTTCCCGAGAAAGGCCCTCGGGAGGGCAGCAGCGCCGGCAGGCGCAGAGACCGCGACAGAGGCAGGGCTCAACCATTCGGTGCACGCCCCTTGCCGAGGCGCAGGACAGGCAGACCTGGAGCGCAACCGCGGGGGCCACCTGGCAGCAGGCTCGGACGTGGGGCGGGGAAGAGAGGTCGAACCGCACGACCAGGAACATCAGTGTCGTTCGACCGACCCCCATCCCCATCCCCATCCCCTGCGAGGCTCCCACCAACTTACTCCCCCAGTTGGGGGTACGCCCCTCGAAACCCGAAGGGAACGACCTGTATCCCCATCTAGGGGGGCAGGTCGGCCGGTGGGGCCCTGTGGGATCGGTGAAACGAGGCTCAGAGCAGGCACGAGCGCGACCACAACGGGCAGACCCCGGCGGCTGGCGGCCGGCCCGCGGCGGCCCGCGGCGCGGCGGTGGCAGGAGGCGGCCTGCTCCCGCCGCGCGCGCTCGGCGTCGGGGGAGAGGCCAAGGCCCCTTGGCAGGACGGGGCCCCGAGGGCGCCGGGCCGCGGCCCAGGGCACCCCGAGAGGGGCAGGCACCCGGCGCTGCCCTGGCGGGGGGCGGCGGCGGGCCGCCCGCCAGGGCAGCACCCGGCCCGGCTCCGCCGGAGGGCAGAGGCCAGCCTCTGTCTGTCGGCAGGAGCGACGTGGGTGCGGAAAGAAGGGCCAGAGTGCCCGGCAGCAGTTCCTGTCGAGCAGGACCCGCTGTCCGCGCCGCCGCGGCCGGTGTCCACTCGAGGGCAGGAGGCCGTCTGCCCAAGAGCGGCCGCTGCTGGTTTGGGACAGCATGTGCTGCTGGCATTGTGCCCACTTACGTTTTCGTACTCCTTCCGGGCGTCCACAGTCTGGGCTTGCAGGGGAAGGCGCGGAAGCGCACAGTGCCTGCCTCATAGCGAATGACGGGGAGGTTGCCCCCCACCGCTCGCGCGGCCCGCACGGCTGTGGGCGGGCCGCGGAGTGGACCGAGCGCCGGCCGGCAGGCTTCAGCCTCGGCAGCCTGGGGGTCGTCCATTCCCGGCAAGGCCGAGGTGGCGCCGGCAGGGAGGGCGGGGGTTCGCCCGCGGTGGGATGCTGCCACGGCACGCCGCCAGCCCCCGCGACACATGGGCGCCTGGGAGACCTCGCGTGCGCCGCCGTGAAGGGGGAGCATGTCCAGCGGCCCGTATCGGGCTCAGGGGCGAGGCGTCCGGGAACGCACTTTTCGGCGCTTGGCGGGAGGGAGGAGGTACAGAGGAAACCCATGCCAAGAAGCACCCTGCTTGCCTCCAGGGTGCTCTGGGATTCTTGGGTTCCAATGGTTCTGATATGGAAGGCGTGGCGTTCCCACACCAACAGTCAATGGGCGTCCCAGGGTCTCAGGAATGGGTTTCTTGCCGAAGGTTTCTTGTGGTCGAGCTCCTACTGTAGCGAAGAGGGTCGCTATTTGCCGACGACATGCGACGCAGAAGTCCACACGCCACTCGGCAACGTCGTCCTCGGCTGTGTTGAGCCCGGAAGGGGGCACCCACGCGCGGCCTGGCAGAGTCCAGCCAGCCAAGTCATAGGTCATAGTCGGCGTGTAGACAGAGAACAGGTCAGAGAGTGGATCCCGGCGCGAAGCACCCCTGCGGGGAGGCGCGCAGGCGCGGGGGGGATCCCCCCGTCACTCTGTCGAGTGGAGGCGACGCGAACGCTGGCTTGGAGGGGGGAGGTGGGATGGGGCGGCGCAGGCCGGCGGGCTGCGGCGGACTCTTCTCCCAGCTGTGCTCCGCAGACTTTTTCGTGGGCAGGCGGGCCGGCTCCTCGTCGGAGGGCGGGTGAAGTTAGAACGACGCGAAGATCGGGACAACATCGGATCGGGATAGCTCGAAATCTCTGAGAAGCGGCGGGTTTGGAGGATGTATTGGGCGCCGCGGCCGCTCTGAGAGCGTTCCGGAACGCTCTGAGAGCGCTCCGGAACGCTCTGGAGCGATTTGTCCCGATGCTGGCCCTGTTTTAGCAGTGGCTCAGGGGCGGCGCCCGGGGAGGCGTCGAGAGGGAGTGTGGTCGGCCAGGGCGGCAGCACCGAGCGCTCCGGCGGCGCGGTCGGCGCGCGGGAGCCGCTGCCCGAGGGCGGCCGAGCGCGGTTTTGCCCGAGGCGGCAGCCCCGACGCCCTCCTGGCCCGGACGGAGCCGTCCGAGGGCCTCGCCGAAGGTGAGGCGCTCATGTGGTCAAGGGAGGAGGATGAGAAAGAGAGGAGAAGGAGAAGGAGGGGGAGGATCCATAATATCCATCGCAATGATATTCATCACAACATGCATCACAATAATCATAATGCGAATCAGACTAATGACACATAAGGATAATGCGCATAATAAGAAGCTTATTAAGATGAGTAAGCATCTTCATCATATAGCAAGACGAATACGAAGACTAATGGGACCAATCGTAATACTAATAATGCTGCTAAGACTAATAATGAGAAAACTAAGACGAACAGTACTGACACACATACGAATGATACTACTACTGGCAATAAGGATCATAATAATAGATATAATAGTAATAGTACTACTAATACTAATAATAATAATAATAATAATAATAATAATGATGATGATGATGATGAAGATGATGATGATGATGATGATCATGATGATGATGATGATGATAATAATAATAATCATGATAATAATGATGATGATGATGATGATGATGTTAATAACCATAATAATACTACTACTAATAATAATAATGCTAAGAATAGCAGAACATAATCACATCATACGGATACTAGTATTAAGAAGAAGAGGACAATATGATGATGCTTATGACGATGCTGATGATGATGCTGCTGCTGATGGTGATGACGATGATGACGATGATGATGATGCTGATGATGCTGATGCTGATGATGATGATGGTGATGATGCTGCTGATGATGATGATGATGATGATGAAGATGACGCTGATGATGAACATGATGATGATGATGATGATGATGATGATGATGATGATGATGATTATGCGGCTGCTGATGATGAAGATGATGATGATGGTGATGATGATTATGCTGCTGCTGATGATGATGGTGATGATGACGATGATGATGATGATGATGATGATGATGAGGATGCTTATGATAATGATGATCATGCTGATGCTGATGCTGATGATGTTGGTGATGATGATGTTGATGATGATGATGCTGATGATGCTGCTGCTGGTGATGATGATGCTGCTGATGATGATGATGATGCTGATGAGGATGATGATGAGGATGAGGATGAGGATGATGATGATGATGATGATGATGATGAGGATGATGATGATGATGGTGATGATGATGATGATGATGATGCTGATGATGATGATGACGATGACGAAGACGAATAATAATAATAATCAGGATAATAAGAATGATGAAACATTCTAATATTAAGAAAAATAAGAAGAATATCATGAAGAATGGTAAGACGACCAATAATAATACACATAAGAAGAATACTGGGAATACTACTAATAATAAGAATCGTATGAATAATATGAAGAATAATTAATAATACTAAGAAGAAGAATACTAAGAAACAACAGCGACGAATCATACTAATCATAAGAAGAATGCCAAGACTAATACGGCGAATAACAAGAATAATCACAAGACGAATACTACGACGATGAAGAATAATAAAACGAAGACGAACAAGAATAACAATGCTAATGATAATACTATTGCGAATAATAATAATACCAATAATAATACTACTAATAATAATATTTTATAATGTTAATAATACTAATGGTAATAACGTTAATAATAATAATATCAATAATAATAGTAGTAATAATACGAATAATAATATTAATGATACTAATAAACGTAATATTATTATTAATACCAATAACACTAATAGTACTATTCGTAATAGTAACAGTACTAATAAGAATAACAATAATAACAATAATACTAATAATATTAATAATATTAATAATAATACTAATACGAATACGACTAATAATAATACCAAGAATAACAATAATAATAAGAATAATAGTCGTAATATTAATAATAATAATATTATTTTTACTAATAATAATAATATTAATATTAATAATAATAATCGCAATGATAACAATAATACTAATAATAATAATACTACTAATAATACTAATAATACTAATAATAATAATACTAATAATACTAATAATAATAATATGGAGGAGGAGGAGGAAGAGGAGGAGGAGGCCGTGCGGGTGGGCGAGCGGGCGGGCGGGAGGGAGGGAGGGAGAGGGAGGGAGGGAGTATGAGTAGGAGTAGGAGTCAAGCTAGCCAGCTCGAGCGAGTCAAGCATGGCATGCCCAGTCCCACCCGCCCTCCCACAACATAAGAAGCAAAGCTGGCACAACTGGGGGCCGAAGTCACACCGGCCAGCCGGTTTGGTACAGCTGATGCGGCCGCGATGGCGGTTGCCGACGGGAACTGGCGAGCGCGTGTTGAATGCCGCGCACGCATTGCCAGACGAGTCGAGAATGGCCCGGTACACCGCAGGAAGCCAGAGGTGGCCGGAGGAAGCCCGACGGTCTGACAGGACACCCCAAGGGGGCCCAGGAGGCCCCAAGAGGCAGGAGTAGTAGTACCAGTGGTAGTGGTGTTGGTAGTGGTAGGTAGTAGTAGTAGTAGTAGTAGTAACAGAAAAAGTAGTGCTATGACAAGTACTTGCAGTACTACTAGTACTAGTAGTATTAGTATTAGTAGTAGTAGTAGTAGTAGTAGTAGTAGTAGTAGTAGTAGTAGTAGTAGTAGTAGTGTAGTGGTAGTAGTAGTAGTAGTAGTAGTAGTAGTAGTAGTAGTAGTAGTAGTAGTAGTAGTAGTAGTAACAAAAACTGTGTATTGTCTTTTGCAGATTAGAATGGGGCGGATTGGATGGGCGGGCGCGGGGTGTGCGCCGCGTCCCATTCCTGCCATGCATTTTGAGACGTGGACGACAGGACGTCCATGCGACGGTGCCAATGACGGCGACGACTCTAGAAGGATTTGAGCATGCGCTCGCGGCGACGCGCGCGCATGTCGCCCGCGTGGTATTTTTTGCACAGGATTCGCGGCCTGGGTGCATGACAGAGCATCGCGAGTGCACCGCGCGATGACGTGAAATCGCTGGATTTGACCGAATTCTTAAGATTCCTATGGTTTTCCTATGATTTCAGCAAGAGAGCCCGGGCAGGAAATTTGTAGAATTTTTGTGAAAAAGCATTGGGTTTTTGATGTTTTTATGTTGAAATGCTTGCAAACACACGGTGTTCGGTAGGATTCTGACATGAACGCGCGCGTGTGCTCTTTGTGGTATTTTTTGCAATGGATTATCGCCGTGGACGACAGGACGTCCATGTCGAGAGGAAAAAAATGTTGATTTTGTATTGTTTTTTACAGGTTAGGATGGGACCACCCGGATGCGGCCCCTATCTGCCGGCCTGAGGGGGGAGTAGGAGTATATTCTAATAAGGAATAAGGATAGGAGGAGGAGCAGGGGGACGAGGAGGAGGAGGAGGAGGAGGAGGAGGAGGACCCAAGCGGAGTCCACGAGCGCTCCAAGTCAGCCCAAGAGCGCTCCAAGAGACCCCAAAACCGCCCAAAACCGTCCAATGGGGGCCCCGAGACGCCCCAAGAGGCCTCCAAGAGGCTGCCCAAGAGGGCTCAAAAGGGAAATTCCATGGATGGTTGTATGGTTTTCATCGAGGTGTTTCTGGTTCTTCCTTTTTCGGGCCAGCATCGGCCTGAACCGGCCCAAGAGGCTCCAAAAATCGCCCCAAGATAGCCCAAGGGGCCCCCAAAGA